AGAGCCAAAAATCCATGGGGCTGAAAGAGATGACTGGAGGTCAAATGCAGGAAGAGAGCCAGGGGACATGACATTAGCAATGTTCCTGAGATGGAAGAAGGAAGAGCGATCAAGAGAACTGACATGAGAATCCAGGGTGAGAGCTGGGTCAAAGGTCACACCAAGATTCCTGACGGAAGGTTTGGTGTGAGAAGCAAGCTGACCAAGAGAGTCTCTGACTTTGGGAACCAGCTTGTCTGGGGCACAGATGAGGATGAACAATCGAACAATCAACCACACAGCAAGAATGATCCATCTGCTTCACTAAATCCCCCCGCAATCATGCAAAACTATCAAATTATAGGCCAAAATACGCTATTTCTTGCCACCCCCTCCCGTGATGCAATGCGGGAAACATAGACATTGACATCACAAAAGATGCCTTGTCCGTGTTACATGTCCCACCCTTCAAGGACTTGAGGTCACGAGTAGAAGACCTTAAAGTGGTTGTCAAGGCCTGGGTGGAGACATATTTCATCCACACTTCCTGTTAGGAAAATGCTTCTGAAAGAGGCGTCTCCTGGTGGACCGAGAGAGCGGCCCTGAGGCAGTGATAGACCGCAGCCCTCTCTCGCGTGTGCTGTTGGAGTTTCTCAATCTAAAAACCAGTTGTTAACGAGTGCGTGCGCACTTGCGCATGCACGCACTCACACGAGACTTACCGCTCAGGAAAAGATCAGACACAGATTCTGCAGCATTCCGGAGGATTTCCTGATAACCACCATTAGATGAAAAGGGGTGGAGGGCGTTTGTTTCAGAATGCGAGCGGCTCAGAGCGCCAACATGTCACATCGTCAGGTGAGTGGCTGAGCCAGGTGGAGGAGCAGCTGCCTCACCTGGAGACCAGTGCGGTGCAGCCACGTAGTCGTTAGCTGACAGCGTCACGTTTTTCCGCTTAGCCGTCAGCCACAGCTGGTTCTACAAGAATGTGGAGCAGAGTTTTGACCTGAAGATGGAGATATGATTATGGTTTTGGGCTGAAATATTACATTTAAAGAAAGTTGCACTAAACTGCCACACTAATGATTACACATGTGTAGAGCACCATTAGACACTCACCTATATCAGCAAAAACAATTTAGGCTCTAGCGTAATGGTTGTTGGCTCTTTTGTGAAAGATGAAACATTCTACATAATAATCTGGAATATTAATTTTAACAAATTAATAACCAAACGTTATAGAGATAAGAAGACTCAAAGGTTGTTTTCATCGATAAACTGACGATTATATCCGTTTGTCTGTGTTTCAGTTCAATGAAAAGGCAAGTTTGAAATTTACGACATTTATTTCTTCAATTTAAACTAACGATTTGAAATGACAATCATAGGAAAAACAATCAACATTGGCAACCTTGTTGGACAATCTTTAACAGCTGATATTTTAAGCTTGCTCAAATAGACCTTGTGTTGGATGTGCTAAGATTGAGGATGATGTAATTATGAATGCGTGCATGCAGGTGTCTGAGATTGCTTCAGGGAGAGAGAAGGTGAATCTGAGTGAAAAATGATGTTTTGTAATTAAACTTTAGTTCTTATTAGAAAAACAGCATCAGAACGCTATCTATTGTGTTTTGCCTCACCGTACTTAGGACCCCCTTTTAGATCCGGACCTCGGAGGATGTTTCTCCAGATGACACCTTGGCTGGCAGAGAAGACAAAGGTGTGCGACGGTCCAGTCCAGGGTTGACCTCGGTACACATTGCTGAAGCGTTTAGGCAGATGCGCTTTCTCAAGTTTAAATTAACCCAGAAATCAAAAGACTCTGGGACGAGTCTGCGTTAGCTGGTTGCATATCAGCTATTCTGTCTGGCTTGACAGAAATAGCGTGGAGGGAGAAAAGGAGCCGGTGTTCGTTCCGCACTTCCGCTCTCTTCCGTTCTCACTCCTTATCGAAACCACTTCTCTTCCCAAAGCAAACTTGTTGTGCGTCAGAGCAAATGCGTTTTGAAGTTACTGTGGATCCGGACCTGTATGAGCGGGTGTGAAGGTCATCGCTAAACATCTTCAAAAACATTATTTAATGAAGTATACTGATTCATTATAGTTCATTATGATTACCCAAAGCATAATAATCATTCATTTGATTAAAATACATTTATAATGAGCAAAGTGATCAAATGATTATTTGACATTAATAAAATAAAGGAAGCTTAAGACTCTGTTTTATTATGACTAGACTGTGTGAAGTCCTTCTTCTGGAGATGCAGGTGTTCGGCTGTTGTGGATTCCTTCAGACTTGCTGGCGGCTCAGGTCTTAATCTGTGGGTGAACCCAGCTTTGACCCAGCTTTGACCCAGCCGGGCAAATACGACCTTTAGCACAGAAACCCATACTTCCTCACGTTACTAGGCGTTACTTGCTCTTTAATGTCCTTGAACCAGCTGTAGAAAGGTCGCAGACCCATGCTGCAGATGAAATAAAGAGGCTTCCAAATCCCCTCATAATAGATATTAAAGAGGCCATGGACATAGAAGCTGGTGGTAAATCCAAGGTAACAAAGCTGCAGATGGAGGAGTTAGGTAATCCAAACACCCCACACAGCAGAGATGTCAGCATACATCCCAATCAGCAATTGTAATCCAAACACAGCTACATCCACAGGCAGGAACCCAGGAGGAGAAGCAAGCCGGACCCGCTGCGAATGCAGGAACCCCAGAGATTAATCCAGAGCAGGGGTCACCAACTCCGGTCCTCGAGGGCTACCATCCTGCACGTGTCAGCTGTTTCTTTGCTCCTACACACCTGATTGAAATGAACGAGTAATTAACAGGCCTGTGCATAGTTGAGGAGAGGATGAAACTACTCCATGTGCGTGGAGCAGACTCGCTAACGCTCAGTAGCAACAACAGCAGACTCCAGGTGCAGCGGTTCTGCTCCCCACCACTGCAGCTGCCGAGATCCACAAGAAACGGGATGGTGGGGATGTTACTTCCGCTTCTGGAGTTTAGTCATTCACAATCATCACATTTTTTTCTGAACTCCACTTGATCGTGACACGTGTGCATGCTACCCGTTAGTTTAGCATTAGCCAATCTACTCAGTTTAACTCAATCCCAAACGTTGGACCATTTCTGCCTTTCACAAAGGTTTCTGTCTTTGCTGGTGCCCCTATTTTCCTCCACAGCACCCAGATTACAACCTGGTGCACCAGTAAAATGTGTTCAGACTGTGGTGCACACATTTAATGAAGCTTTGAATCAGTAAAAAATGAATCGAGGAATTTAATGAACCAAATCATTCGATGATTTGGTTCAGCCCTACACACAAGCATCCACTCCTTTGTAGAACCAAAACCATATTATTGCTTTAACAGCTTTAGACTGGTTGGGATGTAATGAGACAGCACTCATGAAGATAAGTGAATGGGAAGCTCTGACGAGTTTCAGACCAGAAAAGAGATTTTAAAACCAGAAATTATTAATAAAGTGTTGATTTTGGTTTACCTCCTGGCTCCTAGTTATATTTTCTGGCTTATAACAATTGTCTTCTAACTTTACAAGGCCTTTAGATAAAGAGACTTGTGTCCTCAGAGGGGTCAGGATTCTGGAGATACGGGATAATGGATAAGTTAAGAGTTCTTCATAATCGACCTCGGGGTGTCAGGTTGTCACGACCTGTATGTTAAACAAGGTTAACGTTCAGCCGTTCGATGCATTACAGGCCTTCAACCACGCTACACTTCTCCATTCCCTTCTTTCTACTGAAGCCCACAGGAGTGTGTGAACTCTGTATCTGAAAGGACATGCGGAGTCTAAGCCACGCCCTTCTACTTCTGGACTTAGGGTCCCCGGAACAAAGACAAAAAGGATTAAAGTGAATGGAGCCATGAAAGCTATTCACTGGTCCACTTTGCCTTAGCTCCCCAATCACACAAATGCTGTACATCCTTTTCTTTGAAAAGTAATGATATGTGTTTGGACTATGTCTGTCATGGACTTAGAAATTTGTACAACTTTATAATTAAATGACTACAAATCAGATGTCACATATTTGATTGAGATTTATATAACATTATGATGCCATGAGTCTATCTATGGTCCCTACTCCATTCATAATACACCTGACATGTGTTAATTCATGTGTTCTTACATACCTGTACTTATAGGGTACAACCACGTAGACAGTAAATAATAGTTGTTGCAGAACAGCTGATACTTTGTAGGCATTATTATTTCCACAATGTTTCACAACCCCCTGTTCACAATGCTTTCTGTGTATGTGTCTACATAGGAACTACTGTTGAATATAGTATCTTGCCTTAGTTAACTTTCATTTTTGCATACTTGGTCACTTTTGTACTCCTTTGCGATCTGTTCTGAGCTGTTGTAGTGCACAAACTTCCCCACTGTGGGATCAATAAAGTCTTGCCTTGCTTTACCTCACCTCACATGCCCTCACCACAGAATCTCTCCAGGCATAGCTGCTACCTACCACATTGCCAGATTTATGGGGGTTTTCCCCACGTTTATTGTTCAATCCGTCATCCTGGAAGAAGGATTTAAAGCTGGCTAAACTAATCTCCCCCTCTTCTTCATTTCTGGTCTGATAACATCAATTTGGCAAGATGCATTTGCAGTCCTCACGCCTTTTCACACAAAACCGAAAAGAACTTTTGCTGATGTTTGAAAATAACTGCTTTCTTGGAACGTGTCTTTAAAAGTCATCACATGCAAACGCCATGACACACATCAAACAGGATTTGAGAATAGCTTTTATAGCCCCGTTCGCTTGCACTAACGTTTTCTCTGTTCCTGGAACCCATGGTCCAGAAGTTGAAGGGTGTGAATTAGGGACCTTATATAAATAAACTGAATTGAATTGAAACCTTCATGGATGAAGTCATTGAAGTAGCCTTTTGTCTTCCACTCCCTTGAGATTGGTTCGGTTTGATCCTTCTCTCATTAAAAGTTTTATGCTGCCTCAGTCACTGACAGATGTTCATGCATTTCTCCTATTTTCAGCAGGTCCAGTCATGATGCCAGCTAATCAGAAGCTCTGCTGCCACACTGCCACCCTGTTCTTGGTGTTAAAGCTGGTCTGTGCCCAGTTTGAGGATCTTGGCTACCTGCTGGGCTACCCTGATCCAGAACAGGACCAGTACACGAGCCTAGCGCTCTCGCTGGACACGCCCAGGATTCATCTCAGATTGGCCGGAGATAAAAGGAAACACAACGAGGGCCGTGTGGAGGTCTACTACAATGGCACATGGGGCACGGTCTGTGATGATGACTTTAACATCCATGCTGCTCAGGTAATCTGCAGGGAACTGGGCTACCTGGAGGCCGTTTCATGGGTCGCATCCTCCAAATATGGAAAAGGAGAAGGTGCTATTTTTGTTTTCATCCTGTTAACCTGGAAACATTATAATTTACAGACATTTAAAATGAATTATTTTCCTTTTATTATTATTTAAATAACTTGAAATGAAACAGTTTTTGGACTTTATTTCCACCAGTGACAGACAGACTTAGGAAAAGAGAAGTACTGAAACGTTTGTTTTGTTCTGTAAGGGCCCATCTGGTTTGACAATCTTCACTGCACCGGTAAAGAAAAGACTCTGGCATTGTGTCCGTCCAATGGGATCGGGGTATCTGACTGCAAACACACTGAAGATGTTGGAGTCATATGCAGCGACAGAAGAATACCTGGATTCAAATTTGTAAACACCCTACCTAACCATGTGACGGTAAGCTTTTTCACATGTGAGAGCTAACTGAGATCTAACTCAGTTTGATGGGAGTTAAACTCCGATAAAACAACAATAATCTGTAAAATTAACAATAACCCCTAAAACTTTTTATTAATATGTAGAGTATTGTTAAACTTTCCATCAATATGCGGGTTTTGTATTGTGTTTGCTTTTTACTTTTTGTTAGATCAGTTAATGCAACACAGCCAGCTAAAGTTATCGCAGGAATACATGATGCTACTTCCTGTGGGGCTGTTGTCGTCTCATCTCTCGCAGCTCCAGGATGATCCATGAACACCGATCAATGCGGTCTGTGCCAGAACTAGAGACTAAAAAAACGTCGTGTTTCATTTTACCTTAACCAAGCATTCATTGTAACTCACACACTTACATCAAAAGGAAGGCAAAAGCACAACTGTTCTCAGAAATGGGATCTTCTAAACGAGTTCTGTGAGTGAATCCAATCAATAGACCAGACCAGGAGTAGGCAACCCTGGTCCTAGAGAGCCACACTCCTGCCTGTTTTCCAGGTATCTTTGTTGTTCCTAGATTGTACCTGGATCAGGTGTGTTCAGCCTATTAGATGCAGCAAGCATGCATGACTGGAAAACATGCAGGACTGCGGGAGGAGGAGTGGACCGTCTGCAGTTCTTGGTGCTTCCAAGCCTCCGTCCAAAGGTCCTCTTCTGGGTTCACGGTGCAGCTGGAACTGGACATTTTGGGAATAACTAAACTGCGCAGCGGCTCCGACATCCATTCTACTGGTCAGGTTGCTGTCAGGATGCGGAGTTACAAATCCATAGCTGTGATGTCTGCACCAGCCAGAAGGGACCCAACTAGGGCTGGGCGATATGGAGCACAACTTATATCGTGATGTCTTTTTGCTGAACTCCTATATGCGATATATATCAATATTTTTCCTCCTGTAAAATATTTACAAGTTAACTCACTTCGAGCTGTCTTGATAAATTGTACATAAATCAGTAGATTAAATGCATAAAAATGTATTGATTCTTGTCAAACTTTCACCACAGTGCCAATTCTCTGCCAGTTTAAGCTTTAGAAACACTGGTACTGGTCTGTTAACACACACACACACACACACACACACACACACACACACACACACACACAGTTGAGAGCTGGAGGTGTATTAAATGTCCCACGGGCACTTTTTAATTATATATTTATAATTAATGTAAAATTATCTAAATTTCATCTAGAGGCAGGTCATATCGTTTATTTCTTGTCCAGAGAAAATAAATCTATCATGTTAAGCTAAATGTATGATGATGTCATTTATCCACTGAAGATCACATGGGTCATGCACCGTGGAGTTATTAGTTATCAGGGCGAACATGGCTGGAGTCTAATCACACAAATGCTGTACATCCTTTTCTATGAAAAGTAATGATATGTGTTTGGACTATGTCTGTCATGTACTTAGAAATTTGTACAACTTTATAATTAAAGTTAGGAGAGGAGGAGCTAGGTTCCCCCTAGCTCTCCTTTAACCCTGTATTCGAGTTCGGATCGGGAAGTAACACCCCATCCCGATGGAGTCTGAAACCACATGATCGGGACAGACTTCCGATCACGTGATCAGATCGGGACATCCCTGAATACATGTGTATGTGTTTAGTAATTCAATAACTGATCATTTATAGGGTATTAGGTAATATATACTGTGTTGATATCAGGTGTTGTCCTGTAGTGTATAGAGGTGACCACATGGTGGCACTGGGGCAGTATGTATATATATATATATATATATATATATATATATATATATATATATATATATTACCAGGAAGTGTTTGTAGTAGGGGGTGGCAGTCTGCAATAAACACGGTACAGCATAGAGACGCTGGAGTTTGTCCGATCATTTGACAAACATAACATGGTGTCACGAGTGGGACATTGTGAGAAATATCCTGATTCAGTGAGTACAGTTCGGGAGTGAAGTGCGTCGTTGGTCGGATCATGGAGAGCTTGCGGCCACCAGAAGGTCTGAAGCTCGTGGCCACCGTGGACAGCAACTGGCGGTGCTTCAAACAGCAGTCCGAGCTGTACATGGTGGCAATGGGAATGGATTCCAAGCCGGATGCCAGGAAAATTGCTTTGCTGTTGACGGTGGCAGGTCCTCACGCCATAGAGGTCTTTAATACTTTCGAGTTCAATGAGGAAAGCAATAGAGGCAAATACGTCAAGGTGACTGAACATTTCGACGCACACTGTTCACCACAGAAGAACACCGTATATGTAAGGTATGTTTGTCGCACCCGGACGCAGCACCCGGAAGAGAGTTTCGATAGCTTTGTGACTGACTTGAAGCAAAAAGCACAGTCCTGTGACTTCAGTGAATTAAAGGAGTCTATGACACGTGATCAGATTGTTTATGGGATCACTGATAAACGGACTCGAGAACGTCTGCTCCGAGATGCACAGCTGATGCTAGAGGAAGCCGAGAGACTGTGTCGTGCCAGTGAAGTAGCACAGCAACATGCTAAAACATTTGCTAATGCTAAGCCAACCAACTGGAGACGTGGCTGGAAGCTGGGCCGCTGCGGGCGGGGCCGCGGATGTGGCTGGAGGCGGGGTTGCAGATGTTGCTGGAGGCAGAGCCACTGCAGGCAGGATGCTCTGGAGGCGGGCTGGTGGAAGGTGGGGGCCGCAGGAGTCTCTGGAGGCGGGGCTGCTGATTTGACTGTAGGTGGGGCTGCTGCAGACGGGGCTGCTGGCTTGACTGTAGGCGGAGCCGCTGCAGACAGGCCAGCAGACTTGACTGGAGATGGGGCCACTGCAGGTGGGGCCACTGACTTGACTGGAGGCGGAGCTGCTGACTCGCCTGGAGGTGGGGCCTCTGGAGTCTCTGGAGGTGGAGCCACTGCAGGCGGAGCTGCAGACGTGTCTGGAGGCAGAGCCGCTGCAGGTTGGGCAGCTGGATGCTCTGGAGGCGGAGTCGCTGGAGTCTCTGGAGGCAGGCCGCTGACTTAACTAAAGGTGGGGCAGCTGCAGGCGGGGCCGCTTGCTTGATTGGAGGCGGGGCCACTGACTTGACTGGAGGCGGAGCCGGTGCAGGCGGGGCCGCAGACTTGACTGGAGGTGAAGCCGCTGCAGGCGGGCCGGCAGACTTGACTGGAGGCAGGGCTGCTGACTTGACTGGGGCAGAGCCTCTAGGAGAACCAGGGCAGATAGAGTCTCCAACTGGAACTCCTGGAGGCTGAGGAGTTGACGGAGTCGGAGCAGCTCAGACTGGAGACCGGCAAGCTCCGTTGGATGGCCTGCAGGCTTGGTCCCTTGGTCAGTTGTTGAGGAAGTTGCTGACTGGACCGGAAACGGAGGCAGGAGGTCCAAGCTGGCGCGTGGAGCAGGGGCCTCTGAGATGGGTGGCACCACTCTGCTCCCTCAACCTCACCGTCTGGTCCCTCTCATGGCCCCCCTGGAATGGGAGGAGACCTCTGGAGGGGTGTCCCCCGGCTGGGTACCCGGCCCACGAGACATCCTCGCAACCCCCCTGGAGGATGACTCACCAAGGAGCTGGAGGTGACATCAACAGGGGTTGCATGAAGTTCATGGTGCAGCTCCGGGGCTGGAGGTGACGGCGGTGCTTGGGTTCCTTCCCAGCGCCATGGGCCAACTCTGGGGGAGCACACAGCCAGTGTGGTGCCCACATAGCAGGAGCTGTCCGGCTGCACCTCCCAGCCTAACCTCCCATCTGGCTCCAGGAAGGTGGAGAGGATCGCAGAAGCCGAGGTTTGGCGGCGGTGGCTGTGACGCTGGAGGAGGGGAGGCCGGCCAGTAGCTAGGAGTGAGCCACCGGAGCAGGTACTCCCAGGGAAGAGTTTCCCCGCTGGATCCCTCAGGAGTTCTGTCCATTCTGTCACGGTGCGCAGGTGAGTTGAGCGGAGGTGAGGATCCAAGTGCAGGGAAGAAGGCAGGCAGATGTGGTTTTATTAATGAGCACGCGGGACATGGAAACAATGGACAGACAAGGAACACAGCACTGGGAGGGTTTAAAAACGCGAGGAGCTGGGATCTAAAGCGATTGGGAGACTAGAGGCAGCTGGGAGAAATTAGGAAAGACACAGGACTGAACCGAGTGGGGCGACAGGACAGGCTGTGACACTGACATTTACAGTACGTGCTAGAACACAAAACATGAAAACATCTGAAAATATCCAAAACACTGAAACGATCCTAAACATGACTGTGTCTCAGCTTTAGTGCTGCACATACGTCACAACAATTAACTAGCTGAGTTAGTGCTAAAGCATCCCCAGGATGTCATCATGATGACATCATTACTGGAACATTTCCTTACCTCTGTCCTTGTTCTATTTTCTTTCTCCTCCCCTGGACTCCTGATCATTTTGAGTGCTCCAACATGCTGAGCTAGCTGAATCAGCAGAAACAACCGTTCTCCCCACGTAGCAGGTAAAGGTAAATTAGACGGGGGGGGGGGGGGGGGGGGGGGGGTCAGGTTGGCTTCATGGGAAAGTGACGTACTTCAGTAAAGTTGGAAAATTATTGGCAGATTCTGCATTTACAGCTTAATAACTTCTGATCATGTCATTTCAAATCATACCTCTTTGGTATCATGACATGGTAGTGAACCAACTACAACCTTGTTTTTTTCGAAACCACGTATCCCCTGCGCACGACGCGTTACTGCCGCAAGCACCCAGGGGCCGTCTGCAAATTTAAACATCACTCTGAAGGTGATGCAACCAGATCACTGCAAATAATTCAGATATTAAGGTTTTTATTTTTATGTCTTTCCGTGAAATTTGGAGTACGTGTCGCCTGTCGGTAAAACCAGCCCTGATTGTAACCCTTGACCACTAAAAGCCACAAATTTAAAAAAATGAAGAACTTGGATTCCAGAACTATGCAGCATACTGTAAGGGACACAGACATAGTATAGCACAGTAATTGAGCACATACTGAGTATTGCATTGATGTTTTTGTGTACCAGGATAATGCCAGTACCAGTT